CGTCACGAGGTACATTGAGTCATGTGCAGTTTGCCACCGTAACAAGGGTCGATCTCGAGTCCCCTTCGGCGAAGTGAAACCGTTGCCGATTCCTCGGGCACCACGCCTCTCCATTGCTATGGACGTGACAGGCTCGTTTCCCGCGATCGCCAAGGCCATGACGGTATTCTCACGGTCGTTSACCGTTTGAGCAAGTATGCTCGCTTCCTTCCTTGCAAGTATCATGCTGCAGCGCCTGAGCTCGCACGACTCTTGCACACCGGTTGGATTACCAACCAAGGTGTTCCGGAAGACACAGTGAGCGACCGAGATACTCTTTTCATGTCAGCCTTCTGGACTTCTCTCATGACGGAGTCCGGCACGACAATGAAGCCGAGCTCGGCTCGACACCCGCAGACAGATGGTCAGACGGAGCGAGCGCACCTGACCGCTCAGATGATGTTGCGTACGCTCATCCGTCCCGACCAGAAAGATTGGGTTGACCGGCTTCCCGACATCGAGTTTGCCTACAACACTTAAGGGCACTTGGCGATCTGCGTCACACCATTCGAGCTACATCATGGTGGAGAGAAAGCACGGATCTTCACTGATCTCCTTTTGCCACAGGCTGCCGACATAGACGTCCCTTGCTCTCCCGCTTCTGTCAGGAAGTATCGGGACTTGCTGATCAAAGCCCGCGCGCGAATATGCAAAAGGCTCAGGTCCGCATGCAGCAGCAAGCTAACCGACGTTGACTTCCATATCCTTTCCGCGAGGGAGACCTTGTTTGGGTCCTCTCCGAGGAATTTGCGCTCGAGCAGGATGTTTCGCGCAAACTCCTTCCGAAATGCTTCGGACCATGAAAAGTCACTTCTGCCGTTGGAGACGACCCCGCCGGTCCTTCCTTCGTGATCAACATTCCACCGCACCTAACAGGGTCTTCCATGCATCGAAGTTGGCCATCTACATGCCACCTCCAGCTGACGAATTCCCCGGACGTCGATCACAGGATCCGCCTTCTATGGACGGACATCAGGAAGTTGACCGAGTCATCACGCACAACAAGTATGGCAACAAGCCAAGGCAGTACAAGGTCACATTCAAGCAATGTGCGCCTGATGACACTCGGTGGATCTCCAGTGAAGATTTGCAGACTTCTGCACCCCTCATCTTC